CCACATCAGGTATTCGGATATATACAGTACCATGGCACTGTTTTATTATGTACCATTATATTTAATAGGTATGTGTTGCCATGATGTTAAAAATTCAAAGCAAGCAACTGACAAAACCTGAAATCTGTTTGTCCGACCAATGACAGATAGGAGATTTCATGGAACCTGTTTACAATTCATTATTTTCATTATTTTTGTAGTTTAATTTGGTGACATTAACAGAGCAGAAATTACACACTTCACATTTAAAAATAAAATAAATTGACTAGAACATTTTCTTATATTTATTAATTTAACTTACGTTACTTATAGAAAAAAATATATATACTGTATATATGAAGTGTTACTCGCTCTAGTGTGCTTATTTTTGTGGTTGTTGTTGTTGGAAGGGTGAAGTTCAGCATGACCTTGCAATCACTGTAATGCTAAAAGCTCATTAGCTAATCAGTGGTCGGCTCGCTAATCAGCGGTCCAATCTGTTCCTAGATTTATAAACATAACCAATATGCTCTAGTGCAGATCCACCCTCCGTCTGTCATGTTCACATTCCCCCACAAAAGAGAGGATAAAAAAGTAGAGAAAGGAAGATAAAATGTAGACAGTGCCTGGGGCCTGTTGTGATGTAAGACAGAGGGAGAGAAAGAGGGGGGTGCACCCTTGTATGGTTCACAGACTCTGTACGAATGCATGCATACACACACGCACATATCCTATGACAACTTGCTGCCAAAGAGCCATCCATGCACATATATCTCCACATATAGAGACGCATTCTCTCCAAGACAAAGAAACTATTTTAACTGTGCTGGTCTCGTTTACACGTGCACACACATGCACACGCAGTCCAACACACATTACAAACGACTTCACATGACTAAATGCACGCAAACACACACACACTAGAACCACTCCAACTTGTCTGCTGTTGACACAAAACAGAGATCAGGTCTGAGCAAGTGCTGAAATTCCAGTATGGCAGAATTGTTATCAAACACTTGAGAACAGACTGAGCCCAACTGTGCAGAAAGGCAAACAATCCCTATATCCATCCAGCTTCATGGAGCTGAGATCTCCACTATGTCTCCATCTTTGCCTGATGTAGCAAGGGATTTTGAGGGTGTAGGTTGGGCTGCATGCCTGTGTCTCGCTGGTGTAAATATGTCTTTTGTTTGGCGGTTTGACCCCAGGGTGTGTTGGTATTTTGTTGAAAGGCCACGGATATTCACGCTAAAGCACCTTGACAGGTAGGCTGTGTGAAGCCCGCTCCAGGACATGGGCTATGGCTCATCTCACCCAGACCTGCTTGCATCCTTGGGGCCGCTGTTGCGCTCACACACATACACATATGCATGCATGAACAGTGAGACTCACACATATGCACGCATGCTCAGCTTAAGCAAATAATTTACCGTGTACACTACATCCAGAATTATGGATCTAGCAAACACGTACTCACACACATACAGTCCAAAACTAGAATCCAGTGTAAGATTTTAATGCCCAGATGTTGCTCTATGATAGTTTAGCAGACTTAATGTAGTTCCTTGTTATTTTTTTTATATATAATTATCCATTTGTCTTGAAAATAAACTGTACTATAATCTTTATTCTCAAGCAAGTCTCCATTTGCTTTCCATTTAAATCTCATTATGGTGTAGGAGAAACAACTGATACACCACATAGATCTCATTTGTGATTTTGCTTTCGTATAGGTAAAACGCTTGTGTATCACCTCTCCAAGATACCTACTGGGTGGGTCAGGGGTCACATTTTCCCCGAAGCTATAAGAACGTTGCCAGATACTACACACGAAGAGCACATAGAGCAATCATCCAGAGCTTTTCTTGAACAAGTTTCAACTTCTCTTGACATGGGCGGGTTTGGCTGTCAGAGAAGTGAAGCATGCCAGTCATCCAGTTCTCTCTCTTTATTTTGCTCTTGCTCCTTTTTTCTCTCAGGCGCAGAAACCTGATCCAGGGTGTGTGGACGCTGTTTCTCTAAAGTAGCCCCGCCACACTTCACTCCATGCTTTTAAGACTTTCAGAAAAGCCGCCTTATTGACAAAACAATCCATCCCTGAGGTTTAAACAGCATCTTTAAAGGGATTATTAAATTCGGCCAGGAAGGGAAGAACGGGCAACACATGAAACCCGATGACCCGCCCATTGATTTTACATCACTGATCTTTATGGAGTGTTCTGAGAATGCTTTCTCTTATCATCAAAGGCTAAAACTTTTCTTTCTCTCCGCATCTTTCCTTTTTCTTACTCTCCCATCAAAGCAATTTCAATGAAAGTTTTGCATTTGTATGTAGAACGACTGACTACCTTTACATCATTATGCAGTTGAACACAATCCCTATCAAAGCTCTGACATCTCCCTCCAAAAATAGATCCCACAGTCGATCCACATCCCCTCCTTAATGCCACGTTCGTTCACGGTGTCTTAGGCTGTCTCTGTGTGCTCATGCGTGTTCGCGGGTGCGTATGCATGTTCGTCTGTGCTCATGCGTGTGTAAGGGTGTCCATAAGGGTGTGACTAAGTGTACGTCTATTGCGTATCGTCCAGATTTGAAGAATAGTTTTCAGACACTCTCAATGCATGTTGACTAAACAACGCACACACCCACGCGGGTCGATTGTTAATATGTGGACCCAGATTTGCAGCAGTCCCTCACGTAATGTTAGCGCCAATAATTCATGAGTGATCTGCACCCCGTGTGGCCTTTAGCATTTTTTATTTAATCTTCAGCCCGCGGATTCTCTGAGTCCTCATCAATAATGGACACGTACATGTGTGTTAACAAGACTATGGGAGCAGGGCTTAAGAAAGCCATCATTTTCAGTTGATCTCTTGTTTAGCTCCATCTGTTAGCTGTTTATTTGATGTCACATTGTGGTTTCCACATGTTCGCCCTTAAGTCCTATAATCAACAAAATTTTTGCACAGAGATATGGTTAAATGATGTGGACCTGCATGCTATTTGAATGAAATCTAGTGGAAGACTGGAATTCATCTTGTAAATCTTGTACGAATATTGCATGTTGGGCCGGTGCTTTGACTAGTCTGAGGAATAGAATCACAGCTAGGGAAATTGCCTCTAAAAATCAGCAGGTCAGGAGGTAACATCACCAGGGGTTGCCATGGAGACACCCAATGATAAGCTTCCTACTAAGCACAACCACGGCTCTATGAAACAACAGATCCTTCTCTCTAACCCCTAATGTGCTGAGCATCTCTCTCTCTCTCTCTCTCTGTTTTCATACACATATTTCATGTCATCTGCGCACTTACACACATATCCGAACACATATCCACACTGATGCACTGAGAGAGGGCTGCAAGATCCCAGAATGCAGGGCTTAGCAGCTAATACTGCTTAAACTGACCATCTCTTGCTCATCGCTTACACACTCAGACAAGTGCTCTTTCTCCCGCATCCACACAAACACAGGCAACATGACAAGTCTTCCAACATACACCAAACCCTGCTCCAAAATGAGTCGGCCCAGTAGCCAGAGTGCTGGGGTAGGACAAGACAGTGTGTGAAGTAATTGCCTGTGTGTTCTCTGCTAACTAATATGGCTGAAAGAATTGATCTCCCATGGGTTGTTGTGAGGTCACAGAAATTGATAACCCCAACAAGATTCCCTTGTGTCCGTCAGCCTGTGTCCCACTGATAGGCCACTTTTGTAAATTAATCCTCATTCTTAGTCACCGATTGTCTCCAAGGTTCCAAACTGAACAATGGTAAGGATTATGTTGTCAGAAATTACACTTTGTGTAATGGGTTTTAATACATCTCCCATCTCTCTCACTCTCCCAACATCTGGTGCACATAGCAAGGGATTGGTTGTTAATAAGCTTGAGAAGCCTGACAGAATAGCAATGTTATGTAATCAGGATACAAAGGTATATTGCATTACAGTTAAATGTAACAAGTACTATAGTACAAACAACTGATGGACATTCCATAGCACTTATCCACATGTGAGACTGCACCCATTACAACCGCCAGTTTCTACAATAATTGCAACTACCACATACAAATAACATGACACTCAAGTGAAACAAACCATTTTTACAGTTGCAAACTCATTGCAATGACAACTGCTGGAAAATGCTTTCAGTGTATGGATACTTGTTTGCTTGCTCTTTAAAAATGTGGCTAACTTCTGTTGCTTTTCTCTTCTAACTAAAAGTAGTTTAATGGTTCATATTTGAATGATTAGGCTACCGATTACCTTTGTGAAGTAATTAATAATTTGTGAAGAGTAATTTGTATCGGAATGCAATTTTAAAGTAACTCTCCCATCCCATGCTGGGAGCTCCTACATCAAGGTCGTTTTATTCAGCAAAATGAATTAGGGCATGTAATCAGATCCTTGGCAATATCAGTCTCTGACACTTAGAGAACAAGAGCAGAGTGAGTTTGCGAACAGAATTTCATGTGAGGACCTGGCAAGAAGAAATATGTGGCAAAGATTGTTCTTTGGGTTCTTGCATCCAACATTCCGTCCTATGCTAGTTTTCACCACCCCACTCCCTATCTCAGGCACTTCATTAGACACGGCTAATAACAGTATGTGCTGATAGCCATCTCTGGGAACAAAAGCACCCCTGCAAAGGTTCTGTCAAACTTAACGGAACTGTTAACAATGGAAACGGCAAAATCAATAGCTGTTTAGGTGGGGACAAAGAGTCCCGTGTCACAGTGAGCATGGGGCAGACAGGTTTTGAGAGGATTCAGATAGGCACAAGAGTAGCTGCTCTTCATATCTGAATGAGAGAACAAAAAATAAAAAAAGTCGGAAAAATCCTGGCGGCAATATCCCTTTGGGTGAATTGATTTGAAGGGAGATGAGGCGATAAGTGGGAGACAGATGGGAGGGGCGAGCAAAAGCGGGGGGAGGGGAGTGTATTAATTCAAATCATTAAGAGCCGCTTGCCAGGGGCGAAGCTATTGATTGCATGTAAACACAAAAGTACAATTGACTTACCAGTTGTTCACTTGTAGTATAGTGAGCCCGGTGTCTTGTGCCAGTTGCTTTTTCTGTTCTTCTGAAGGGTAGGGGTGCTGATAAAAGAGAGAGAGAGACAGAAAAAACAGGAAATAACATGAGAAATATTGTAAATAAATCATTCGAACACATTTGTTAGTGAGAGAAAGGTCTGAGGTACAGAAGGGAGACGTTGCTCACACATTTGTGCAGAAAAGTGGCAAAGCAGCTGTTAATTAGTGTGAAAAAGTGAGCTGTGTCTCTTTCTTAGAGTCATTAATGGAATATGAAATTGTGTAATTAATGGCAGCGAAAAAGGCAAGCCAATTATAAAGTTAAGTGAAGTGTGGGAACAGAAACAGTAATTAGAGTGCTGTACCGTGCAACCCCACTGAAATTTATTCTAGTCATCTTGCTGCCATGAATGCATGATAGAGAATGGATATCTAAAGCCTTGTGTGGAATACAAACCACACATCTGACACATACCTCTTCTTTTTTTTAATCGTTGTAAGATAAGCATCATTCTAGATGATTAGCCAGTCAGCTAAAAGTTAACAACATGGATGATGCTAAATTACTGCGAACAGTTTTCGATACAGCTGAGTTCTTGAAGTTAAGAACTTGATTTGAGCTGATCTAGCTGTTTAAATAAAGGTGAAGTGAGATTTGCTTGATTTATATTAGCATTAGTGTGAAGTATTAAGCTCGCTAGCTTTGAGTCTAAACAATGTGCTGTTCATGAAAAAGACAAGACAGAGCCTGTGTTGAGGCCCCTGCTGAGCATGTAAAATGGGAGGTACATTGTGCAAAGATGTTTACACCACATTTATACCTAGAGAGAGAAAGAGAACCCTGTGTTTTGATCTCAAAGCACAGCAACAACCCCTTTCCCATTTCTGTGGTACAGTATTTTCATATTATGCTTTGTTAACACAATAAGTGGACCTGGACACCTCCAGTCTTTGTGGATGGCTTGGTGTGCTCTTTGTCTTACTGTGCTAACATATTCAGACCTTCTAAGCCCATTACCAAATCTTGCACAACCTGCTAGGGATTAACAGAGACAGGGGCTTTAACTTGGCTTTGGGTTGCAAATCAACCAATGTGACAATAGATCACTGTTCAACAGAGAAGTTAGCAAAATCACTATGGCTGAATGACTTGTTTCCCACTAGTCTACAAACCATAAGTCAACATCCTTGACACCGCAGCAAAGCGACTAAGAACCAAGCATGTCACAGCGTAAAGGTGCTTATATAAGTTGCCTTTATTTATGTGATCTAACATATAGCGTTGAAAAGGAAGAAATTGGCAATTGTGATTCTGATTCATCCTTTGAGAGGTATAATAAGAACAAGGCTTCCAAATGAGCAAACAGAAATTTAAAAATGGTTGGCGCCACGGGTTGTCTGCTCTTTTTTTCGAGCAATAATAAATTGGAATGTCTTTCATGTTGCTGAATGCATGTTTATTTACTGGTACTGCAAGAGAAGCAAGCTGTTTTCCTGTCGCTCTGTCATTTTCATGTGATCCAATTGTAGGTAATTGGAACAAACTGTGGATAATTTCATGCAGAAAGTTATAATTGTAGTGTCGCCTCAAGCCATTCCTACATAGATTTTAAGAATTATTTTATTTATTTATTTATTTTGCCTTATCATATGTTTCCAGTGTCTATCTTTGTAAACCACAATGATGAGGTTTGTGTGAAACCAGGGCCAGGACTGGAAATGTGAGAAAACAACATTCCAGCCTCTTTCACTGTCATGTGATCAGTGATAATCGCTGATAACAGGCATTTGAGTATCAAAAATGTAATGACAGTCAGCCATAATCATAAATTCAACGTATATCTCCAACATCAGATTTACAAATGAACTGTGGAGAAAAAATGGCACTGAGTGTGGCGTGATGGCTAGTCAGCCCTATAGTGAAGTGAACATGTCTGGACAAAAGTATCTGAGGCCTCATCACTTTTAGGTGGAAAGTTGTGTCAAAGATTATGTGACAGCATAAACTCTAACTGCTGTCCAACAAAGAATGACTCCAGCTCAGGGCCGCTACAGTTTCAGGTATGAGAAAACTGTTCTGCTCACTACCTCTCCTACACTGAAAGATTTTATGGACAGCAGGTTCAATTCAGCTTGGTTTCACTCAGACAGGATGATTTGGAAAGAAGAATTTCTTTTTTTGCCAGACCATTTGCATACAAGTTTCTTTTGCAATCCACTATTTTGAAACGGTCTCTTCTACAGCTATGTTTTGTCAGTCATTATGTGGTCTACACTTGTAAAGGTAGATGTAACTAAGAGAGTCATGCACACTAAAATCCACATATTAAATATCTTAAGAACACTGATGAAGTATAGAATGAAGAATGCATCGGCTTCGCTTTTAAGAAAAGAAGTGGGAGGAGGACTGTCAACTAAGGCAACTTGTTAGGCAACTTTACCAAATGAAATGTTACAACAATGCACAATGGGGTGGAGAAAACGAGCAGTCAGGTTTCAGCTCAACTTAAATGTAACCTAATCCTATCCTAACTTCTCAGTAAATCCTAGAAACCCCATACAGAGACCTGTTCTGTGATTGACAGGTGGCTCTGACCGTGAGCATTCAGCAGTACCCAAACAGGATTCCTGTACAAACGCCAACTGGGTCAAGCTCTTCCGCCCACAGCATCGTACGTGACTCACCTTTGTTGTCATAACGACCTCGAGGTAGCCACACCTGTATTTGAGCAGAATGGGGCAGCAGTGACTGAAGCCCCAATTACAGTTATTACTTGTCATATCTGGAAAACATCCAGATATGATTTATTCACATTTAAAGGCCATGCCTTTTTTTTTTTGGTGGTGGTTTCTATGTAAATTGTCCAGTACCTATTTGCAATCATGACAGGTGATAGATAAATTATATCACTAAAATGACTGGATTGTTATTTTTGTTGTTGTTTTGGACCTTTCTATATGCTAAATACATATATTTTTAGCTATGTCTGACGTTATTTTCACATTCTTTGCAAATTGTTTTGTTGCAACAATATTTGCCTGTTTTTGTCTGTTGTGCACTGATGCCTGTTCTCAAACAGGTTCCCGTAATTTTGCAGTTCTTTCTGCAGATTTCGGATTTCTGCAACCCCCTCCCTCCCTTATGGCATCCCTAAATGTTGTAATTTTTTTTCATTGTATGGGTCTCCAAACACCATATTATCTCTATGCATCAAAACAGTGTGATTTAGATTCTGGTTTAACTGAGAGAAACCAACAGATTTTATAATAGTCAGAGAGCGACTGAGTATTTTAATCCTCTTGGCAGCAATACTAGGTGAGAATTGTTTTCTCAGGGTCTCGTGATGCTTTAGTGAGAAAGCAATAATACTGCCTAAAGAACAGATGGGAAATCTCAATGCATCCTCCCTGTTTCCTTTCGCCTATCTTAATGATACGTCTTGTCCAAATATACTACTCCTTTCATCAGAATTTCCAGCCTCTTCTGCACTGGTGGATACCAAGCCAACAATGTCCTCCCCATGCTCAATTCTCCATCATGTATCTTATCTGTGTGTGTGTGTGTCTGTGTCTAGCAGTGCATCAACAATAGTCCCTCCTTTCAAGGTAAATTTGTAAGGGTTCATTTCAGATAGGTTTCCTACTACTGCTTCCCTTCCATATTCCTTGTGGCTAATCCCCATGGAAGCCAAGCTGCCTCTGAGGAATGCCTGAGGCTTGATCCAGGGGCCATTTTGGCCGAGGTGTCTACTGAGTATCATTTCAACATCCCATCTCAGAACCAGCCACTGTACGTGTGGGCTGCATCCACCACTCTTCCGTAGCTTGGTCTTTGAGAAAACAGGATTAGGTCTGAAGTTTAGTGCTCCACCTACTCCTGCTCTGCTAGCATTAACTGCACCAGAGTCACAGCTTCAGGCCTTCAGCAGATAGGGCCACCTACAACATCCAGCCCAAACCTTAGGCTGGGGGAGGAAGGATTACCCTTGATATTTGGCAAAGAGCATTATCATCTCACCAGAAAATTATGCACTTGTTGTCTTCGTCAGTAAGACACGCATGAGAGGAAAAATCACTGCTTTGTTGGAAAGTTATTTATTGTCAAAGAAAGGTGTTATTGCTCAAGAGAGTCATGACCTCAGAGATATTTCTTGGCTGAGGAAGAGTTGAGGCATTTCAAATTCCTTTTTGTGTATGTGACATAAACACAAAGTTGTGTCCTTCATACTTGTTGTCTTCGTCAGTAAGACACGCATGAGAGGAACAATCACTGCTTTGTTGGAAAGTTATTTATTGTCAAAGAAAGGTGTTATTGCTCAAGAGAGTCATGACCTCAGAGATATTTCTTGGCTGAGGAAGAGTTGAGGCATTTCAAATTCCTTTTTGTGTATGTGACATAAACACAAAGTTGTGTCCTTCATTAAGAAAAAAACAAAACAAAATATGCTTCATATAGAAAACTGAAGAGAGAGAGTGAGTGAGAGGGAGAGAGTGAGCAAAAAAGATAAAACAGCAAAGCTTCTATAACCCAATTTCTTCCTAAGAATGATTCACCAATGAGGCAACAACAAAAGAGGGAGAAAGATCTTATATTTGGAAAACAACTAGAGGCTAGGGTTTAAGATGCCCTGGTGGAGTTGGTGACTGGCTGGCTCACAGAAAGTGGGAATGCTTCATTGGGAGCGCCACTAAGTTTGTAGCGAGCTAAGTCAACACAAAGCCAGCACATTAATTATTCACACACAGCGTTTTTAGAAATCCTTGTACTACAACAAGCTAAAACTGGGGAAATTTCACCCTTGGAAGGTTTTTTTTTTTTTTGCCATCTAATCTCCTCTTTTGATAAAATAGGATATGTTTAATTTGGTTTCCAGCATCTTAATTAGTCATCCTCTGTTAAAATTTTTTTTGTTGGTTTAGGGAAAAGGGTGTAACACAAGTGCTTTTAGGTAGAGAACAGGCACTCTTGGTTTGGAGGCAACTGAGGACAGAATGTAAGTCTAAAATTAAAGGATGGGTGTGGGCTGGAATACAAATCAGATCTATCCATATCTGTTTAAACT